CCTGCCATATTGGTTTCATATCCGGGTTATCATATCGTCGTCATTCAGGTCAAGAGGTCAAGATCGAGATTTTAACACACCGTAACATAAACGTGTCACTCTTTATTTCCATTTTATTTAGTTACATGTACTATTAATAATTTTTGGATGAATACAAATACAGGAAAAAAAAAACATGCAATATAAAACCACATTTTAAAGTTATGTGCCTACCATTAAGTAATTGTGCTCCTAAGAATCGTGAGCACTTCATGTAAAGTCATTCTAAGCTTTTCATGTAAAGCAAGTGCAGGCCTCCTGGAGTATCTGACTTGAGAATATAGTTGATATTATGGTTTGAACAGCTTATTCAGACTTTAGTTATAGTGTGCCCCATACAATACAATACAATACAATAAAGTTTATGTCGGAAAGAATGAAAGTACAAACATTAGCTGAGTAGTTATTCACCGACAGCATAAATTAAATAATGATACATCGTTCACTTCCTGTTCATGGTACTACTATTTTTAACTACTTTTGATTAAAATTGCAATAGGAAAATAAGGCCTATGATACATGATTACAGCTGGCAATTGATAAAGTATTGAGACATCACTTGTGCAGATTTATCGTTATCTGTATTCGTTGCAGAGATATGACACTTAATTGCCCTTAGGTCCTCCCCATTTTTATGTACAGACACAGATGTGAAGAGTACTTATAATCCTGTCAAATTTAGTAGATCATGGTAAAAACTAGCATTGTCATTGTATACAAAATGAAAGCCCCTTTCCGTTTTTTTTTTTTTTTTTTGTTCTATTTTTTTGTATTGGCTTCCCCGCAAAAATGCCACACAAGTGGGCAGTAATTAAAATTTTGACAGGGTAAAATTTTTGAATTTTCAAAGTTTATTTGGAACATGAGTTCAAATAGTTGCTCAAAAGGAGCATTCTCAAGTTCATCCTTAAACATATGAACATCAAAAATTATAAATTTTCTATATATGTTTTTCACTACATCTACGGGTACATACAACTTAGAAACTACATGTATCTTATGATTAAAATCACTCAGACCACAATCAAAGGCCCTTAACTGTATTTAAATATTTTCTGGGATGGTTACATAAAACAACATTATTATGGTAGGGTCTGTGGATTTAAAGCAAGTAGGCACAGTACTAATATTTCTTAGATCATAAATCTCACAGAACTGTTGTGAAAGTTCACCATTTCTATTCTCATGTTTCATATATAACAATTTAAATTACCAATTATTGCAACATTTTCACATTTACATAGGACTAAATCTACAAGTCTGTCTAGAAACATTTCAGGATTTGCACAAGGTGGTCTGTATGTTGAAAGAAAGCACCATTTACTATTACCTATATTTATGACTAGCGGTATAAGGCTGCGTTCACATGAAAAATCTATTTTCTAAAAATCTATTTGTGGTATCTTGTGATCACAGTCTGTGTCCTGAATACCCAGCGACAAGAATTAATCACAGCTTTGGAAGTAACTGGCTCACGCTAACCGTAATTAAGCTGTGGGGTATTCAGGGCACAGGCCGTGATCATAAGATACCGCAAATAGATTTTTAGAAAATAGATTTTTCATGTGAATGCAGCCTTTGTTCTATGTTTGGATATTCTAT